TTCAGGCATCACCTCCGGGGGCCTCCTGGGATTTCAGGCCCGTTCCTGCCAGGCGGAGGCTCCGGCTCCTGAAGTGCCCTTCCTCCCGGGGTCCACACGTGTCACTTCCTGGCTGCCAACCTGCTCGGCACCCGGGCAGCAGCAGAGAGCCTGAGTGCCGAGGGGAGGGGAGGCCACGCCGGGCCACGTTCCAGCAGCAGCAGGGCAATCCACGTCTGGTTCCAGGTTTGAGGAGCCCTGCAGGACACTGATGAGAGGACCCTATGCATCCTTCAGAAAGAAGGCAGCAGGGTGTCCAGGGGCGCAGACGGCAACACTCAGGTCAGGCCGGGACCACCTTGTCAGCCGGGATGCCAAGATGAAGGCGAGAGAGGGTCACCGAGGCCTCCTGAATTTTGGAGCTGAGTGTCACAGAGTCAGCAGGACCTGCTCCAGGTGCAGGCAGGAGCCAGAGGCTACAGAGCAGTGTCACTGGAGAAGAAGCGACACAGAGACTTTCTCAGAAGGACGGCAAACGGCCAAAGGAAGAAGTGAGAAATACAGGCCAGCCACGCAGGAGTGGCCCAGGATAGCCCCAGCGGGGATGGGCAACATGGCTGGCCCTGGGCCTAACGCAGGGACCTGTCACAGCCACCCCGGCCCTGCGCATGCCTGACACAGCACCCGTGCTGACCAGAGACCAGGGGAGGGGAAGGCCAGGCCCCAGCCTTGGTCTGCATGGAGGTGGCCTGTGGCTCAACTGCTCACCTGCTTCCTGGCCCCTTGAGCTTTCCCCATGGGCTGTGACATTCAGCTCCAGGAGCCCAGAGGCTGCACAGTGGGACTGTGATGGTAGCCAGGAGGTTTGGGGGGCACTCTGGCAGGAGGGATTGACAAGCCCAGCCCCCCAGAGCAGACCCCAGCATCCTGAAGCCTCAGGGCCAAGATCCCCATGGCAGTTAACTGTGTGTCTTTGCTATGTCGTCCTGAGTGGCAGAACAGCGGAGACCCTGGGTATAGGCAGCACCCACACCCACCCCCAGTGTCCGGCGTTGGTAGAGAAGTGGCCACAGCTGGGACCCAGGGAGGATGGTCACACTGGCCCAGGTTGGACAGGGGTCTGGTCAGGACATCTGTCCCTCTATGAACCCCACTGTGCCCTCCGTTGGCAGAGCCAGGCATTGTATCCACAGCCAGGGAGACATGCCCCGTCCAGCTCCCTGTGCAGGCCAATGGGCAAGGGTGACCGGAAGCTGGGTGCTGAGAGGCCTTTCGATCACTGTCAGCACAGGGCCGCTGGTGTGCTCTGGGGAGAAGCCCAGTATGGCTGATCGCCTGTTCCAGCCCCAGAGCTCTGCTCAGGGCAGCCGGCTGGCCATGGACCAGTTCCTCTCCATTCCCGGGAGTCCCAGTGCTGCTGCTGACCAGGTGGTATGGCTGCGTGGGCAGGGCCATTGTCACTGCCCCGGCTCCTCTCATGGAAGGGGCATCCGGCCTGGCCCCTGCCCTTCCACCTGACCCTCCTCTCCTGGTGCAGTGGGTCCCTCACATGCACATGGGAGATAGGGAAACTGAGGCCCAACCTCTCAAGCCAGGAAGAGTCCAAGTGGCCTGACCATCCCAGTCCACATTGCTGTGCTGAGATCCAGGAAGACCCTGCCCCACAGCTGTTTTCAGGGCTGACTGGCCCCTGGGGACGAAGGACAGCTGCATGGTCCAGCCCTGTCCCCAGGAAGTTTTGTCTGTGGTCCCATGCCACCAGCAGAGCTTCTCGGTGGGCCAGGCCTGTGCAGCACGGCAGCTTCACCACCAGGCCATCTCCACCAGGGGGCAGCACAGTCCTACGGCTGGTGGTACACCCAGCCCGGGCCTCCCATGTGGTGGCACCGCCCAATGAGCCCAAGGGGTCGGGTTTTTTGCCTTGTGAACTGGCCACACCATTTCCCAAAGGCTTCATGCCCTACAGGGCAACTTCCATTCTCCGAGAGCCCCCACTCAGGACGTGGATGGCCTTGTGCAGCCCCTGCCCGGCAACAAACTACTGCCTGCCACCCCACTGCACACTGCTAGCCACCCCAGCCTTGCACATGCCTGACATGGCACCCATGCTGAGCAGAGACCAGGGGAGGGGAAGGCCAGGCCCCAGCCTTGGTCTGCACAGAGGTGGCCCGTGGCTCAGCTTTCCGGCCACATGGAGAGATAACAATGTGGATGTGGTGGCCTGTGCCTGGAGTCCCAGCTCTGTGGGAGGCTGAGGCAGGAGGATGGGAAATTCAAGCCCAGTGTGGGCAATTTAGCCTCGGAAAAACCTTATCTCCAAAGGTGGGGGGTGTCCAAAGAAGGCCGAGGATGCAGCTAAGTGTGAAGATCCTGAGTTCATTTCCCAGAACTGCCACCAAAAAAAAGTGACACTGTGGGCAGAAGTGACTAGGAATGACCAGAGGCACAGGTCCTGAATTCCTTTTACAAGAGGCCTTGGCGGGGCTGGACAAATGCACCCCCTTCCTAGACCTCCATGGGCCAAGAGGAGCCAGAAGCCAAGGGGCCACGGGCCCTGGTGGATCTGGGGATCTGGACTCAGACACCTGTGACCCTTACCCAGGCTCCCGAAGTGGTGGCAAAAAGGTTCAAGTCTGACGCTGGGCCTCACTGAGCAGGAGAGGTGGAGGCCGGTGCAGCTCTGGGGCTGCGATGGGCTCCGAGGCAAGGTACACTGCCTTGGCCTCCTGTGGAGTTTCAAGGACAGGCATCAACCAGGGAGGGGGGCCAGACTGGGGTGGCAGCAGAGCCTCTTGGACACTTTGGCCTCTTTTGTGGAATCGTCTGTCATGGTCAGACACAGAAAGCCGAGGTCTCAGCGCGTGACCCTGTGGTGCCAGCAGCCATCACTGCCGTCTGTCCCAGGCAGTGACCCTGTCCAGGCCAACCCAGCAATGCCCTGGGCAAGCTCAATGCCTGGGGCCTGCGTGTGCCATCTGCAGCCGGCTGGCCTCACCTGGGGCGGTGGCTCTTGCCCAGGCCACACGGATGTGAGCAGGAACCGTTTCAGTTGCTGTCCAGGGCACTGCGATGCCCAGAAGTGGAACAGTCGCATCGTGGCCCCTGCTGACCCTTCCACAGCTGCTGTACTGTCAGAGGACCGAGTGTGTGCACTCCTCGCCCTCACCTGGGTTTGCAGCTGCACTGAGCCCCTGGGGATGGCACAGGTCTCACCGCCTGCCTGAGTCCCTGCTGCACCCTCCCCTGCTGGTGCTGCCGTGGGCCCTGTGCTGCTCAGCCTCAGCAGTTCTGTGCCCCTCAAAGTTGCCCCGCCACTCTGCGTGACACTCAATTCCAGTGATGATTTTGGAAAAGACTGGAAAGTATCGAACCCTTCCCCTGCACCCTCCTCATCCAGCCACGGTCCTGAATTTGTGTCACTTTGGCCCTGGCTTCTCTTCCACCTGGCGGGAAAGAACCCAGGCCCAGGACACAACCATACCAGAAGATGCCAGCATTTCCTGCCCTGGGCTGGGGCTGAGAAGACCCTGGGGACATGGGATGGCGGTGCCCCATGGGGCTGCGGGTGACCTTGGTAGATGCAGGACGTGCCCACAGGGGACAAGGCAGCTGCATGGAGCTGAGGCTCCTGAGTGTCCCGCTGGAGCACGGTGTCTGCCTGACCAATGTCCCCGCACAGAGCCCTGTAGCCACCACCTGCTACCTGGGCCACAGCCCTTAGGCTGGGAGGGCCAGTCTAGGAAGTGGCCTCAAGATGCGCTGCTCAGAAGATGGCAAGTAGGGCACAGGGCTGTGGGGTTCCAGGGAGCCAGGCTGCCCTCTCCACGCTGACCCCACCTGCCCGCGGGAGCCATGTCAGAGCCGATGGGGCTGCACGCTCCTGTACGCCCTGTCCCCCAGGTAGGGTCTGAGTGCCAGGATCACTGGGGCATCAGAGTTCACAGTCCACACTCGGGAGACCCAGGATCCCGAGGTCAAAGCAGACACTCTGCACACCCCACTGTCCATCAGCAGTGTTGGAGCTGAGCGCAGGAATGTACACACACACACACACACACACACACACAGGCCATCCCTGTGTGCTGGAAGCCAAGGTCCTGCACTGTCCCAGGGCCCAGGAGAGCGAGCTGGACCACTCCTCAGGCAGGTGTAACTGGGAGCAGCGGCAGGCCGTGGGGAAGGGCTAGGATGGGGACAGCTACTTCCTACAGGAGTGAGGGGGCAGCCTGGCACCCACCTGCTCAGCTCCCACACACAGGGCCCTGCCTGGTGGGGTCAGCTGGAGCCTGGCACCCTGGGGAGGCGACCAGTTGGACACACACCAGAAATGTAAGGGGGCTTGGGGCCGCAGTCACCTCCAAAAGAATGTGGGTGGGATGGAACTCCTGGGTGAGGGTGGAGACCCCCACATACATTTCTCCCAGCATTTCCAGACTCAATTCATCTGCAGCCCAGACAGCACCCAGCGCTGTCCTGAACCGAGGGCCGAGCTATCTGGTCAGGAGAAGTGACTGGATGGTGTCCCTGGGACTAGGGGTGCTGGGCGCACAGCCTTGGCCTTAGAGTGAAGAAAGATGCTGGGTGGAGCCCCTGCCTGTGCCACAAGTGTGTCCCAGCTGGGTGCAGAGCATGGCCTTTCCAGTCCTGAGGTTACCACGGTAACCGCAGGCATAGGATATGACCCACTCACCAGCCTCGGGTCACAGCGTGTGTCACGCTGCAGGTCTGAGTGACCTCTTCATTCAGAAGCGTGGCGACAGCACCATGTGCAGCCATTCCCGCTCTACTGGGGCCGGCAGGCCGGGCGCCTGGATCTGACCTGGTGCTGTCCTCTGCGGTGCAGCTCTGTGAGGCTGTGTCCATGTCCCCACATGGCATTGTCACAGTCCACATGGGAGGACACGTGAGTCACATCCACCAACACAGCCCTGATGACAAGGGGAGCTGCAGTCCTGGGCAGGGGCCCTGCTGGGTGCTTGGTCCCTGTGGAGCCTCCTGAAGCCACTCTGTTCTCTCTGCAGGGACAGTGGCACAGCGACGTGTTCAGTGGACTGGGCAGCTTGACCCACTGCTCCGGGGTCACCTACTGCGGGCTGTGGATCAATGGTCACCCAGCAGGTAGGGTCCTGTGCCCCTGCTGGCCTCGTTGTCCCTCACAGGACCCCAGCAGCCACACGACAGGGGTTGAACCTTGAGTGTGTTGGGCGGGGGCTGGGACAGCATGGAGCCAGCATCCTAGCCCCTCTCAGGAAAGGCAGATTCTTCTGGGATTTCAAGGGGTGCATGAGCTCAAGAGACCCTGGGAATGACCTTGGACCCAAGCAGAGTCCCCCAGCCACGACCCTCCCGAACCAGGGACACCAGCCTCCCAAGCCATGGGACCTCTGGCCACAGAGGCCGGCATCTGCAGAGCTGCCCTGGTCCCAAGCACCTTCGTCCAGGCCTGTAACGAGCTCTACACTCCAGTGTGACTGCATAGGGCCTGTGGTTTGTGAAGGGGCTGCTGCCAGGCCTCCCTAACCACTCCTGCTCCCTGTGTTGTTCCCGGTAGCCTGTCATCCACACCTTGCTGACCAGGCCATGCTAGGCAAGCAGGAGCTCACTCTGAGCCAGCCTCAGCTGCACCCTGCATACCCCACCTCAAGTGCAGTGTCCAGCCGGTGCCCCTGCACTCACACCTGCCCTGCCCTCACCAGCACCGGCCACAAGGATGGAGATTCTGGGTCCAGAGGTGCTGGAGGTGGCCCACGGCTGTCCGTTCACAGTGCGTGTGCAGCTGCAGCAGGATGGCGGGGAGACAGCGGACAGTGAGTGTCTCTAGGTGACCCCAGGCTTCCCAGAGACCGTCAGAGACTGGGCTTGGGCAGCAGAGGCCCAGACAGGGTGCCCACTGGCTTTGGGGGCCGAGTGACTGGTAGAGAGGGGCCCAGAGCTTAGCAGAAGGGGCAGGAGGCCAGGAGTCCTCCAGCTGTTGGGGGCAGCGTGTGCACGTGTGTACGTGTACACGCATGTGTCCTGGCACACTTGGGCTCTTGAACAACATTAGCACACATCCACAGCACAGAGATGGGAAGGATGCTGCCAGCCCGGCTGCAGGAGTGTGGCCTGCGGCCCACGGGGCGAGGGGCGAGGGGCGAGGGGCGAGGGGCGAGGGGCTCCCCATCCTCCTCATGGGGAAAGCTGGGAGGGTCAGGTGGACTCGCTGCTCCCAAACCTCGCAGCACATCCGTGATCCCGAAGTGCAGGACTCACCTTGGCCCACTCTGCTTGCATCAGGAAGCCACAGTGTGCAGCGAAGATCAAATCCATTTTGTCACAACTGGTTTCCTTTAACGACTTCATTGAGACGTCGTTTACATACCATGAAATTAATCTGTATTAAATGACTCCACAGCCTTTAACAGCTAAGGATTTGGGCAGCTGCCATCCCACCACGACCCCTGCCACACTTCCTTGCTCGCCTGCTGCTCCTGCCCGTGGCCGTCCCTCCCTGCCCGCAGCCGCTCACCTATTCCCGGCTGTAGATTCACCTTCTCCCCACCTCATGCGCAGCGCAAACGGAGGCTTCCGTGTGTGATCTTTTCTCTTGCTCCCCCCACCCCTCCTGGGGGTTGAGCCCAGGACCTTTGCGCTGAGCCACCTTCTCAGCTCTTTCTTATTCTGAGACAGGGTCACTTAATGCCCAGGCTGGACTCCGACTTGCAAGCGCCTTCCCTCGGCCTCCCAAGCGAGCTTCGACGGCTGCCTTCTTTCTCTCATGCATGTCTTGGGGCTCACCTGTACATGCCTGTGCCCTGTGGCTGGGCAGCTGTGTCCTGTTCTGTGGCCGCCAGGCCCTGCTCGCTGGCTGCGGACCACGGAGGTGCTGTCCTTAGGGCTGTGCAGACAGCACTTCATGAACCGGCTTGTGCAACTGTGAATGGTGTCCAGCTCCTGGGTGCATGCCTGCGACAGTGTGCGGGGTTCCACTCCCCACTCCACAGGGCTGAGATTTCTCACGTTGGGGGAGCCGTCTCGGGAGTGTACGGTGGCATCTCTGTGTGGCCTGGATCTGCGTTTCCCTAATGAAAAGTGATACTGAACAGCTTTTCATGTGCTTATCAGCCCTGTGTGGTTCTTTGAGAAAATTTTTGTCCTATCATTTTAAAAATGGGGCTGCTGACATTCTTATTTTTGAATCATAATGATTCTTCTTGTGGCCCAGTGTGGTGGCGCATGCCTGTAATCCCAGCACTTGGAAGGCTGAGGCAGGAGAATCACTGTGAGTTCAAGACCAGCCTGGGCTACAAAGTGAGTTCAAGGCCAGCCTGAGCTGCATAGTGAGACCCTGACTCAAAAAGAAAAAAAAAAAAATAGTTCTTCCTGTGCCCGGGATACAAGTCCTTGGTCAAACACATCTTTGCAAATGTATAGCCCATGGTTTATATTTTCTTTTGTTTTACTTTTTGAGTTTTTGAAATAGGGTTTCCTAGCTTGGCCTCAAGGTCCCACTCCTTCCCCAGTCTCCCAAATGCCAGGATTTACACATGTACTGTCATGTCTGGTTTATACGGTCATTTTCTTAATGTCTTATACATAGTAAAAGTTTTATTTTATTATAGTGTTTACTTATGCTAAAGATGGAATCTGGGACCTCGTGCGTGCTCAGCAAATGCCCAACCACCGAGCCACAGGTGCAGCCCTTTGATTTGGACACTGGGTCCTGCTGAGTTGCCCAGGTTGGTCTCAAACTCACCATCTTCCAAGCTCAGTGTCCCAAGTGGCTGGGAAGCAGGCGTGTGACCAGTGACCTCTTAATTTTGATGACTTCCAACTTGCCAACTTTTTCATTTACAAATCACAGTTTTGGTCTTGTATCTAAGAGTTTTCTGCCTAACCCCAGTTCACAAAGATACTGTCCTGGTTGTTTTGTTTTTCTCTCTGTAGAATGTTTATAATCCTGGATATTGTGTTTAGGTCTGTGAGCCATGTTGGGCTGACTTCTGTGGCCACGGTAAAGGTCTGAGTTCCTCCTCCATCGAAGCCTCGCCTTCCCCACTGCACTGGCCTGGCCCTGTGCTCACAGGTCAGTTAGCAAAGGCCCAGGGTCCTGCCCAGCCTCTCAGTTCTGCTCCGTTGACTCACCCAGCTGCAGCCAGTGGATCCCAGGTCCATGAGTCTTTCACTGTCCTCCTCACCCCAGCTCAGCAGGCTTTGTGACTGGAGTCCTCTCTTGTTCTTTGGCAAAATTGCATTGGCTGTTCTGGGCCCTTCCTGCTTCCATCTGAATCTTAGGACCAGGGCTTGTCAATTTGTGCTGCCTCGGTTGGAAAGCCTGCTGGGATTTTGGAGGCATCTCATGTGGCCCCTGGGGGAGGCCACCATCTGAGTGACCCTGGCTGTCCTCGGTCACGGCACGAAGCCTCTGCATGCATGCAGAGCTGTGCTCTCACACACATTTGTTATTTTCCATGCAAAGTCTTACAACACTTTTATTGAATCTGTTAATAGATCATCAATTTATTATTTATTATTAAATACATGACTACAGTTATTAATATAACTGGCGAGTTTATGTGTCATTGTTTTTTTTTTCTTTTTTTTTGGGGGGGGGTCTTTTTCCTTTTTATCGGTACCAGAGATCGAACTCATGACTGCCTGCTTGCAAGGCAGGCGCTTATGCCGCTGAGCTAAATCCCCAGCCCCTTGTGTCATTGTTTTTGTGCTTCTGGGTATGGGATTTCCTTCAGTTCATTTGGATATTTCTGGGCTACAATTAATCTTTAAATGTTGATCTTATGTCCTTTGACTTGGCCAAATTCACTTATTAGAGCTGCTGGTTTTTCTGAGGATTCTGGGGACTTTTTATATACAGAGAATCACATTGTCTTCAAATACACACAGTTTACCGCTTCCCTTTGATTCTGAACGTGCTCTCTTTCTTTTTCCTTGTTGCTCTATTTCACATTCCCAGCAGCAGTGGTGAGGTGGCCGATCGCCACCTCCTCACCAGCACTTGCTGTTATGTGTCTTTCCAGTGTGGCCGCCCGAGTAGGTGTGGAGCAGTACCATGTCACATTTTTGATTTGCGTTTGCCGTAACGGTAATGGTGGTGGGCATCTTCTCTGGTGCTCATCTGCTGTCTGTCTATCTGCTGTGGAGAAATAGCTACACAGATCCTCTGCGCATTTCAAAAATTGGGTTAATCTTTTTATTATGGACCTAAGAGTTCTTTCTAGAGTCTTATCAGCTGTCTGATTTACAGATCTTTTTCCCATTTTTTGCATAATTTGCAGTTTCCTTGTGATACCTTTGAAGCACAAAATACCATTTTTATGAAATCCAATTTATCAAAAGCCTAAAAACACCAAAAAGAAGGGGTTTTTGGTCCCATCTAAGACAACTTTGCCTAAACTGGGTCATGAAGATTTATGCCTGTGTTTTCCTTCAAGGAGTCTATAGGTTTAGCATTTCTGTTTTAGCCTGTGATTTGTTGGAAGGGAAAGAGAGGGACCGACTGGTTCAACACCTTTTGTTAGAAAGGTTCTTCTTTACCCAGTGGATGATGCTGGCACTAAATTTGCTAAAATTTTATTTAGAATTTTTCATTTGTTCATGGGAGATAATGGTCTTTGGTTTTCTTGGTTTCGGTATCAAGGTGATGCTGACCTCAGAGCATGAGTTAGGGGTAATTGTGTCGCCTTTAGTTTTCTGAAAGGTCTGTGTTAAAGTGGCATTATTTCTTCCTAAAGTGTTTGACAGTTTCACTAGAAAGCTCCTCTGGGCCTATGGTTTTCTTTGCAGGAAGTGGGTTTCCTTCAGGAGTCGAGGCCTATGCAGGCTGCATCCCTCCACCAAGCTTTGGCTCGAATGTGCGATTCCCCAAGTCCGCATGTCTGTATTGCTGGTGCCTCCCCTCCCGTCCCCTCCCCTCCCCTCCCCTCCCTTCCCGTCCCCTCCCCTCCCCTCCCCTCCCCTCCCCTCCCCTCCCTTCCTCCTTCCCCTGCAATGTAGCTAAGCCTTATCAGTCTCATTAAGAAGCAAGCTGCTTTTAGTCTGACGGATTCCTACTTTCCTCTTTTGTTTTTCTTTTTTCCTTTTCATTTCTATTTTGATCTTCTCACTTCTGCTTACTTTCCGTTGAGTTTGCTCTCTTTTTCTGGTTTCTTAGGGTGTATGTGGAGATTATTCATTTCACACCTCTCTTTTGTAATATAGGTGTTTACTGTTACAAATTTTCCTTCCCCTCGGTACTGATTCTGCGGCATCCTGCACGTTTTCTTATATTGTCTTCCTTTTCCTTCAACTCAAGACATTGTATTTCCTTCTTTGGTTTTCTTTATTGATCCATGAGTTATCAGAAGCTATGAGTATTTCTCTCATTACATTTCCACATGTCTGAAGACTTCCTGGAGTTCATCCGTCACATTTTCTGACTTGGTTCCCTGCCGCTGGTCACACCCTGTGTGTGCAGAGCTCTCTTAGATTCAACCGGACGTGTTCTGTGGGCCAGAATGTGGTCTGTTTCTGTGAACGCTTGGTGTACACCTGAGACAAACGGATTCTTTCTGTGTGTGGAGTTTCTGTCAGGGCCAATGAGGTCAGCCTTTGCTGCTGCAGGTTGAGCGTGCCTAACCTGAAATCCCAAACTTTCTAAGGGTGATGCAGGCCCAGCTGGTGCTCCAGAATGCAGCAGACAGGGTGGTGCACCTGCTTAGCCGCTTCCGCTCCCGTCTCTGCCTCAGCCTGGTATGGGCTGCAGCCTGGGGGCTATGGGCATAAACTCTTCGGCTCCCCATTCCTGCAGTCGCCGCCTTTGGTGGTCCCCAACCAGTGTCCACTTTCTGTGGCCTTGATGCAGCAGCTGTGGCCAAGTCACCTGCTGTCTTCCTCTGCCCTTTCTTCTGAAGCCATCTGCATCTTTGTGTTCTGGTGTTGTTCTTCGGGCAGCGTGCTTCGCTGTCTGACAGTCTCTGCCTTTTAACAACAGTGGCTCTGCCATTCGCGACTAGGGTGACCATGCAGCGGGAGTGCAGGGTCACCAGCGGGCTGTTCTTTGATTCCTCCAGAACCCTGCTTCTGTCTGTTTCTGACTGACGTGGTGACTCCATTGTGTCTGCTTCTCCTCAGGCAAACTTCTCGCTGTCTCGGGGCACTCTTGGGGTCCTCTCAGGGTCACAGTGTGTCACAGTCACCTTCGGGTAGGCCTGGCCCATGTATCCCACTGCACGGTGGCAGCTGCGTACCCCAGTCCTGAACCTGTTTTCACACCCTGTGCGCTCCTGCATGTGACGCACTCCATCATATGGTGCAGTTCTGTTGGAAAGGCTTCTTGTCTCCCAGTGAATTCTTAATAAACAGGAGAATGATCGATTTATTAGTGCTGGCTTTCTCATCCTTCTGTAGATGCAGATCTAAAGATCTCTACCTATATCACTACCCTTTAACATTTTTTTTTCCTCTTGCAGCACTGGGGATTAAATTGAAGGCCTTTGCACTCACTGAGCTGCATGCCCAGCCCTTTATCTTTTATGAGACAGTTTTCACGGGCTGGGGTGGATCCTTCCGCCTCAATCTCATCATGGCCATTGGGAAGCAGAGAGGAGGAACGGGGAAGGAGCACACCCTGCCGGCCACGGCACTGCCTCCAGCCCCAGGAGCTCCCTCACTGTGGGGAGTGTGGCCCCCGTGCCCCAGTCACTGTGCACATGCCTGCGGCTTTGCAGGACACCGAGGGTCGGAACCGTTGTGTGTACGCCATGGTTTCATCTCCCGCTTGGCTTTGATGTTTTCTTTAATCTTCTATGTCTGCTTCACCACTGAACACACAGCCTTCTGCATCCTCGCTGTGGACCTGAGCACCTGGGGTCAGGCCCATGTTGCGCTCTGCCCACCTGCTTTCTCTGGCGTCCATACTCAGCGTCCATGCCCGGCGACCTTCGCCTGCTGGCAGGGGCCGTAAATTTGACCTTGCTGGCTGCTGGGCGTCTTGTATTCCTGCCAGTGTTCCCGCACTGTGCTCTGCAGCTCTGCGTTCCTGGGTCACAGTCTCACCCTTGGTCTCCGTCTGTGATTGATAACAGGGCTGGGTCAGCTACTCCCATTGTGGAGGGAGGGCCCCCCGGGACTCAGGCCGCAGCATCTGGGCCCCAGAGCTCACCACCTGCAGGGCTCCCTCTCCCTCAGTCTGGCCCAGGGTGGATCCCATTTCCCCGATTCTCGCCTCTGCTTCTGCAGCGCAGTTCATGTGGCGCCCCCAGGCCCGAGGTAACCCTGCCTGGAGGCCCCTCAGGCGCCCTGGGCCTGCTGCTTGGTCCTCAACCTCCTGCTTGCCCACTCGGGCTCAGCTACTCTGCCGCCATGTCCCCAGGGTCAGGGGCCGGAGGTTGTGAGTATCTGCACCTGGCAGCTGGCCCTGGGGACATGTGCCACCCACAGACATGTGGAGGGTGCCGGCCTCGTGCCCAGCCCTGTGTGGGCACAGAGGGGGTGAGGGTGGCAGGGGTAGAGGACCACAATGGAAAGAGGCCTCACCACCAGTACCCAAGGCCCCGGCCAGCACAGTGAGGACCCCAGAGAATAGGCGAGAGGAAAGTGAGAGCAAACCAGTTCCCTGGGACCCAGAGCTGGATTTGTGGGGTGCAGGGCTCAAAACGGAGGCAGGGGTTCTGGCTGAGGGAGGAGGCCACCAAGACCCTGGCCCTGGGCAGAGTCCCTGGCCCTTGTTAACTGGGTGGCGAGCAGAGCGCCATAGGGTGAGGTCCCAATGGGCTGCTGTGTGCATCCAGTGCCCCACAGACTCTGGCCTCAGCCTTGATTTCTCGCCTGGAAGGTGAGAGCGGCCGGGTCCTGCGGGTCTCAGCGGGGGTGCGGCGTGTCCAGCTCCCCGCCCACTCCAACATCAGCTTCTTCAAGGTGGACGAAGATCAGGAGGAGACACCTATGGAGACCCCATTGTGAGTAGGCAGTGACCCTGGGGTGCCCCTTACTGGGGACAAGAGGAGAGAGGGGATGGACGTGGGAAGCATCGGCCACAGCCACCTACCAGAGCTGGCGTGATTGGGCAGCATCAGTGGGGCGGGGGCAGCCCGGCTGAGCATGGGGGCAGTGGCCAAGGAATGGGAACAGAGAAGCTGCCCAGGTGGTCTGGCTCTTCAGGCAATTTGGAGTGACACTGCACCTGAGTGACCAGACGGTGTTCTCGGGACCCCTCGCTGAGGCTGGCTCCAGCCCCGGGCCCAGGCGCATGGTCTGGGATGTGGACTCCTTGGCCCAGCGCCCCCAGGCTCACTGTGGCTCTGTTCCCTTGCCAGTGGGTTCCAGTGCTTCTCCTACCCCCTGTCCTGCCACATGTCACCACCTTCTCAAGGAGAGCCAGGCTCCACACTGGATTCCAGGGTCGTCCATGGCCAAGGTGACAGCCCTGGTCACCTACCCGGTGAGTGGAGGCAACAAACCAGCCAGCATGGAGCCCAGAGGATGGAGGGACAGGAGAAGCCTGGGAGGCTGGGCCAGCGGGGGCAAGTGGGATGGTCCCCGCTGGCAGGCAGGGGTCTAGCAGCCAGGCGGCCCCAGCCTGGTGGCCCCACAGCCCAGGTCACCATCATGCACGCCTGGTGTGGGTTGGAGCAGCTGGGATGGCAGGTGTCTCCTCCCACACAGTACGGCCATGGGGCTGAGTCCCAGTGCAGGCAAGGTATGGCCCGGCACTTCATGGGGCTGCGTTTCTGGTCTGTCAGACTGCACCATCGCCCACGGCTCCCTCTGCCTCTGAGCCTATGGAGCCCAGCAACGGCATCTGGGGTTGCCTGGGCCTGCAGTCACACATGTCCCTAGCACGTAAGTGGTTCTGCCCAGCCGGCAGGCAGGGTCAGCCTCCAGCACTAGCGCGAGCCAGGGGTACTGCCGTTACTCTGGAGCTGGGCTGGATCAAGACAAGTTGTGCAGCTCATGGCACTTGGTGACAGGGAGTCCCTGGCAAAGCTCAACACCGTGAGAACCTGACACGCATCTTACCGAGCGGCCCAGGGACAGTGTGTCAGTGACCATGATGAGGAGGTGTCTGACCCCTGGGCAGCGTCAGTGGATCTGGTCTTCCCTCATGCAGCCCTGCACCCCAAGGTGTCTGCACCCTGGGCTGAGAGCTAAGGTCCAGCACACGGGGTGGGGTCCCTGGCATGCTCAGCTGGGGCTCAGTCAAGCTGACCATGAGGTCCCCATCCCCTGTTGGATCCAAGTGCTGTGAGCTCCTTGGGGGCACAGACTGCGTGGCCCTCAGGTCAGGAGCCAAGCAGGGCTGATGTGAAAGCTGCAGCCAGAGCTGGCGGGCAGCAGACAGGAGCCGGGAGCAAGGCCACCTTCAGGAACAGTGGACAGGTCCAGGTGTGGCAGGATGATGTCCCTGCTCATGGAAGAGCTGGCCAGATAGTGGTCCCACCCTGCCTAGCGCTCTGCTGGGGGAGTCTGATTCCTACCCACAGGGCCCCTATAGCCCCTCTCTGCCACCTGGCCACGCTTCAGCATAGAACACCCTGGTGCATCTGCCAAGGCTGCCTGTCCTACCTGAGCCTCTCTTTCTCGGGGCAGCCGAAGCCCTCCTATGACCCAGGGTCCTCATGCCCTCCTGCAGGACACCTTAAGCCCCACAGCTCTGCGCCACTGCACCTCTGAGGTGCTCAAGATGCTGGGGAGTGCCCAGGGCCAGCCCTCTGAGGCCTCCCGGGCATGGCTGTGGCCATGTAGCCTTCTCTGCAACCAGAGGGGCCGGTGGTCACTGGCGACAGCCAGAGAGGGGGCATCTCTGGGTCTCAGAGGCTGGGATCGCCCATCAGGGGCCTGCACCCACTTGCCTCCCCCATCCCAGAGACCTACCAGTGGGCAGCCAGGCCTGAGCTGGACAGGCCAGTCCTTGTGGGAGCTGACTGTCCTCTGATGAGGGTTTGTCTGTACAGTGGTCCTGAGAAAGCAGCTCAGGGATGAATCAATTATTCCTCCTTCAGGGAGCAAGACAGCCTCAGCTCATCCCTGTGGGCTGCAGGCCTGAGTGGCCAGGTCCCCCGGTCTTGGGGCACAGGATGGGACCTGTCTACCCCCTGGTCTGCCTCCCCAAGTTCACAGCAGCCATTCCAGCCACTGGGTGGAAGGGTCCTTGGGTTTCTGCGTAAAAATACTCACTGACTACGAGGAGTTTCAGAGCGAGTCCCAAGGTCGAAGTGGAAACCAGCGCAGGAGTGCAGAGTTTGCCCCCACCCCCGAGAGCCCTCAGGCTCAGCCTGGGCTTGGGCCCTGGGCCTGGATCCAGGACTGAGCACCCCCATGTGCTCATGCCCCCGGCCGTCCAGTGTCGGTGTGCCCTGTTGGGAGGTGTCCGGCCCCGCACTGCCCAGTGTCTCCTGATCGATCTGTGCCTCAGTTTGCTCATGGACCCCAAACCCCAGGCTGGGCCAGGCCATCAGGAGGCAGGGTCCCTGCAAAGCTTGCCCCTGTCCAGATTCAGTCCAAACAGAGCGTAGGCAGTGACCAGGGGTCAGGAGGCTCCCCACGCTCTCCCTGGCTTCCCTGTGGGAGCTGTGGGCAGACAGGGTGCTGTGTCCTATCCTGGTCCTGACACAGCCACTGGGGCCCTCAGGTCCCTCTGGAGGCCCAGCTCTGAGCAGCATTGAGCCACAGCACCCCCAAAGGCTGGCCGGTGCCCACACCCACACTGGAGTGCCAGTCCTCATGGCAACCAAGTCACCCACTAAACCCAGACCAGAATGGGGCACGGCTCGGAAACAGGTCCAGGTGGGCGACTCGGAGGCCAAGTGCGGGAGAGCCCTGGCCAGGCTGCGTGCCTCCCGAGGGCCAGGCCAGACAGGTGTGGGATGGATGCTAGGGGGTGCAGGTCTCCCATCTGCACCTCTTCCTCACAAGACCCCCTAGCAGGGACCAACTCAGCTTTCCGCTTGCAAACCATGGTCCCACCAAATGGCTCTCTATCCTGCAACGTTCAGAATAAGCTTTCCTGTATGCCCACTGCTGTCTGCCCTGGTCCTTGGCCCCAGCTGTGCCCCATGCAGTGCCCTGGGCTCCTGTCCCCATCCTGCCTGGGACCCTTCAGACAAAGCTGGGAAGTTCAGCTTGGTCCTGGTGAGGACAGCGACCACCTGAAAATTTGAGAAAACTTGCATCACTGACAAGCAGTTGGTCTCTCGTGGCCCACGGCCTGGAATCCTCAAGGCTCAGAGAGCCATTGGTCAGAGACCAGCTCCGTCTGCCCCAGCGTTCTGGTGGTCGGCAGCCATCTGTGTCCCGGAAAGAGGTGGGGGATACACGGCCACACCCGCAGGCTGATTCCTGGCCTGTGCCAAGCAGGAGAAGGCAGCCTCAGGCTTCCTTCCTCTACCAGCCAGAAAAACACAGAGCCTGGGAATCTGAAGCAACTCTGCACACGTAGGGAAAAAAATCCTGAATCCTTTCCCAGGCGCAGCAAGCAGGACCCATCCCTCCCCCTGGCCACACATGGTCACCACGCTCACCAGGCCCTGGCCCGTGAGTCAAGGCCCGTGGCCCATGCTGCTGCACCCGAGAGAGGCCCAGGCACCCACATGCCTGTGGCACTGCTCCCGCCAGACGTCCCCCTGCATCCTGTCACCAGAGAGCGCCGTGGGGGCCGGAAGCAGGAGGTGCTGTCCCTGTGCAAGGCACTTGGGCTGGCTCCTGGCGAGGGTCAGAAGCTGTGCGTGCAGAGCCCCCGCCCAGGCACAGCACCCAGGCTGGTCAGCCCTTGCTCCACAGAGCAGGGTGTGAGGGGCTGGCACGGTGCGGGGCTGGTTCACCTTTGCCCTGGCAAACTGTGCTTAGGATCTGCTTTTATCAGCCAGAAAAGCAGCTTCAGCCCCACTGGCTTTGCTTCTTTACACGAAAGCCCAGAGTGAAGGGGCAGCACTGCCTGAGTCTCTGTGGACCCCAGTGTCTGCTGCTTGCGCAGTTACTCTGTCATCTTCCTGTACTACTTCATGGTCCTGTGTGGCTGCAAAAGCTCCAGCCATCAGAGGCCCTCTGCAACTGGCAGGAAGGAAAAACCTAGAGGACAGAACTTGGTTACAGAAACCAGGCCACGTGGAGGTAAAAAGTGCAAAGTGCCTACAAGAACAGGCTTATCCTATCAGAAAAAAAGGGGAACGGATGCTGGCTGTCTTTGCCAAGGAAGGAAGACCTCCTGGGCCTGCCTGGTGGAGCTTGAGTTGTCCAGAGACCGTGGGAGCTGGAGATGGAGCGCTGCACCAGCTCCGTGACTGAGGTCGTCTGTCTGTGACCTTGTGACCCCTGCCCCGAGGACCACGAAGCTGCTGTGAGCAGACCTGATCCACGGTTCGAGGTATCCCTGGTGGCCATGCCTGGTTGACCTGCAGCCCCTGCTCCCGGCTTGGGACCCTGCAGGATGCTGGTACCTGGCTCGTGGACGGCCAGGCACCTCTGGTCGGACCCTCTAAGCACTGGGTTTGCCGTCACTGCCTCTGTCAAGGGGCTGTGACCCGGCTGCCCACGGAGGGCAGAGCACTGCCTGAGTCAGACCTAAAATTAAAAGCGGGGGGCGATGGCGAGCTGAGGCAGCGATGGGTGTTTCCACGTGTTCCCGAGCCAGGGACCCGCAGCCAGGCTGTGTGGGGTGCAGGCCCCAGGCGGGAGCCACGGTTGCCCGGAATGTGAGAGAAGGAAGCCACGCTGGAGCTCGGGAACCCCGCCCTGCCCACCTGGACCTGGGGCAGCAGCCAGAGCCCTGGAGCCCAGAACTGACCATGACCCAGGGTCTGCAGCACCCCCAGATCCGGAAACAGACGGCCAGGAAACGCACCCACAGATACCAGCTTTCTCGTCTACTACACACGAGGCACCTCCTTCCCAAGGCCTCGTGTCAGCAATATGTAATTGCAAAGGCACATTTCATTATTCTGTTGACATGAAATATCTGTTGTTTAACTGTTTCTAACTTTGCAATGCGCGATTTGCATTTCGTCGAGAAGAAAAGACGACCTCCCAGACGTGGACCGTTGCCAGATATTCCAAACCCTATTTTGGATAAATTACAGCACCCAGATTTCAGCAACAAAGCACATTGATTTCACATTCAAGAGGATTTTTATATTTAGTCTCCTAACCTTTTGTAATTCCCACCCACGGCTCGGAATCCAGAGCCTTTTGTGCGCCCCGTTCCTGGCGGGGCGTCTGCCTCTTCCCCGGTAATTTGGGCCCATTGACTCACGGAGCAGGTGCCCGGGATTGCAGACGGGCCGCGTGGGCGCCGGGCTCAGGCAGCGCCTGCACACTGGTCTGGGCAGCCACGGCGGGGAGAGAAGCGCACACTGCTCTTCTGTCCTTTCTTTTTTCCGCCGCCCAAACCCTTCCGGCCAGTGCTCCCCATCGGCCTGGGTGATTTCCTCTCTTCGTGTGTTGGACAAATGGGTTTGAGTATTCATCAGATGGGATCCAGGAAGAATCAGCCGTTACTGTAAGGTGACTTAGAAAATCAAGGTGCCCTCTGCTGCTAAGTCAGTCTTGCCAATAAAAGCGGGGGAATGCATAGCGGAGCGGTCCTGGAGATTTCAGGGCCTCACGGGGCAACATCACACTCAGTATTAATTGTCTACAGCTAATTACGGCAGGGCAGCACAAGAGAGCCATCTTTTTAAAGGGAAGTTGGTGCTATAAATTCCTTTTCCAGGAACCGTAGCGTACCACGTAGAAGGGATGTCCCAGAAAATACAGCATAAAAAGACATCTCGCCGCTTCCAGTGCCAAAACAAGGAATAAAAATGGAAGTTCGCTCAGATATCAGGGTGCAGTTCTGTCCGAACACGGTGTGGTGGGGCGTCCACCAAGAGGGCACTGTCTCCTCCTTGGGAAGGTGGCAGGGACGGCAGAGTGCACCGACAGGCGGTGGCCCCTCCCCATGTATCCTGCTGTGTTACTGGGCGGGTCTGGGGCTCCTGGACTCCGGGGTCTCCGCCCGCCCACAGCAACTCTGCCATGGCACTGGGGTGACAGTGTGTCCCTCTGCGCCTCCCTCCTGCGGGCTCCCTGGCCCCCAAGCTCCCACTGTCCTCAGTTGTTCAGCTCTAAAAGCCACAGGTGAGGTCACTGAGGTTGGCCCAGGCTGTGTACAGATGTGTGGTAAGGACAGCCCTGCACACTGGGAGACAGGGTCATGGAGGACCCCACAGGCCTTAGGGACAGGTGACGTGCCCGCAGGCTGCAGCATGTGAGCTGCATTCACATCACAGATGGAAATGTGTAGTTGCCATCCATCCAGCCATGCGTTCTGCACCCTCCTGGCTCCATCAAGGCTGGGCAGTGACCCCAGCTGCGTAGGTGCCCCATTGAGATGTGGGGATCCCAGAACATCGGCATGAGCAGGGTGGGACTTCAGGGCCCAGGAGGACAGCCCACCATGGGGCAAGCCTGGGGCAGGCAGCACTGACCACAGGGGATGGCCAAGACCTGGGTCCTCTGAACAAGCTTAGAGCGTGGCAAGTTTGGTACGTGGCACGGGGCTGGGGGAAAGAAGGTCCTGGCGTCTGCCAGATGCCACCTAATAGGGCAGTCTTAGAGGATGGGTGCACCAGCACCACCTCACCTGCTCCCCCAGGACCTCATAGGCCCTCAGCAGGCCCAAATGGAGGACCCTTCCAGAGGCCTGACTCAGGCCTTCAGAGGCATTGAGGTCACTGCAGTGAAGGGCCAGCCGAGGGCACCAGGGACCCACAGAGCTGAGAATAGTGATGGCTCTGCCTCTGGTGGCTCCGCCTGGCCCATGGGGACAAGCAGAGACTACCAAGCCCTGGGTGGGGATGTGGCCCATTCCTGCCTGGCCACAGTGCTGAGAGAGGAGCCCAGGGTTTTTGTGGGCTGTGCCACGGCTGTTCCGTGGATTAGAGGGGTGCGAGTGCGTGCTGGAACAAGGGCCCTGTGTGCAGGGCAAGGATGCTGCTGGCCATGCAACATGGCACTGGGGCTGCATCCACCTGCGTGTCTGTACTGTGGTTTTGGGGCTCTAGCACCTCTGTACTCCTGGCCATGCACTGAACAGAGCCGGCAGGCCCTGGGGGACTTGGCCAGGACCTGGGCAGGGACAGGGTGGAGGGCAGGTGGGGAGGGCTCAGATCTGTCTCCAGGGACACCAGGGAGGTGACTGAGCCCCTGGGCCTGCAGTGCACCCCGGCCACAATGAGGACCCCTGGGTGTACTGCACAGGCCACCCCAAAGTCCCCCACCTGTCGGACAGGCAGTAACTGCGCTTGTGTTCCCGCCTGCCCAGGTGACAGCTGTGATAGGGCAGAGATGCCAACTCACCCCCCACTGGCCCTGCCCAGTGCCCCATTTAACGCCCACTGGCATGAGCCTGGCTAGTGTGGGCACCCGGTCAGCACACTCACCTGTGGCCTAAGCCTGACCTCGGGTGGTGTCCACTCCGAGCCACGTGGCTTCCACCCCTCTGTCAGCCACCACGGAGCCTACAACAGGTCAGGCCCTGGCAGGCAAGTGCCAAGTTCCGAGCTCAGGACCCGTTGAAACTCAGTGGCAGTGGGGGAGCAGGACTCCCCCCACCTCAGGGTCATGGTGAGTCCGTCGTGGTGCCAGGCTGAGCCGCGCTGCATGCAAACAGCTTGGCTGGGGGGGCTTCGGAGGTGAGGTGTGGGCGGGGGTGCCCAAAGCAGGCTTAGAAGGAGCCCTGAATTAGCCTGGCTCGGAGGCCAGCCAGGGAAGCAGCCGCATACCAGAGGTGGGAAGCCAGGGTGCAGTGGCCGGGGCTTCGGCTCGGCTGGGTGTGGACTGTAGTTGCCACTCCTCAGGAGGCAGACCGTGTGGGCACCAGGCAGTGTGGAGTGGGAGGCCTCTGGCGTTAGGAGGGGATTCAGGCAGATGGGGCCGAGCTTGGGGTCACATTCACATCCTGTGCTCAGGGCATGGGCTCCTCCCCCGGGCAGCTCTGCATAGACAGAGCTGAGCCACCTGTGGCTCTCACTGGCCTCTGCCTGGAGCCCCTCATCCTGAGCTCCTGGCTTGGAAACACATCTGTCTCTCACACACAGCTCCTGCCAGGTTGCCCGACCCTCTGGCCCTTCTTCTTACCTTTGGAAACCAGAATTGGACAATCTTTCTACAGATCAATGGTGGTGGAACATACCGGGTTCCGGGCTCTGAAGAGGCTGAGGCAGGAGAATCTTGAGTTTGCGGCTTGCCTGAGGAACTTAGCTAGGCCTTATCTCAAAATAAAAGGGAGAGGACTGTTGCTCAGTGGCACAGCACTTTCCTAGCATGCAGAAGGCCCTGGCCGCATCCCCAGTGCTGCCAAAGAAAATCGAATCCTCCCCGCCAGGACTGGGTTAAAGGTTTGGTATTGCCGCGTGTCTCAAGTCAGCAGGGTGACTGGGCCACCGGGCAGAGGAGGGCCCTGCTGTGCCTTGGTGTCCATACACAGGGGCCCAGGGTGAAAGGGACATGTGTGTCGGGGAGGATGGGCCCTGTGGGCTCCTGGCTGGAGGGCCTGGGCGTCCATCCCTGGCACACACTGGCCAGCTGGCACCCGAGGGCCTCGGCCCCTCTGCACCTGCGCCTGAGGGCTGGTCCTGCTGTCCTGGCTCCTCGGCCAAGCCCAGCTCCTTGGCTAATGGAGCCAAGCCACGTGGAGGACAATGCACTGTGTCTGGTCACCTCCAGCGCAGCCATTGCCTGTCCCACAGGGCCCGTAATGTTTTATTTTTGAATTGACTTAAACAGAGGAAACCTGGGCTGTAGCTTGCCCACCTCCGGCAGTTCCCGGCCCGAGGCGGCTATTTCACGGTGGCGCTGGCCCCCGAGGCCTTGTTTATCCGAGATTTCTCCACCTTATGCCTCCGTGTCCTACACAGGTGATTAGGGAGTCTAATTGGCTTGGCTGTAAAAAGATAATTAACTGCCATTTCCCTCCTGGAGAGGTTAGGCTGCCCGCTCTCCCCCAGCCCCTCCTTGGGTGGCTCTGCAACCTTTTTCTTGCTGATAAAGCTGTACGCGGTGTAATTAGAATCTACAGAAAGCTCAGGTCCCTGGAGCTGGAGCCTGCCCCATGCACGCGCAGGCGACCAGCTGGGGAGGGCAGGTGTGCCCCTTGGGCTGCAACAGCACCCAGAAGCCTCCAGGGGCAGCCACAAGGCCGCAGGCGGCCGTGGGATCTATAGGCTGCAAAATCTTGTGGTGCAGGCAGTGGGGTCCTGAGCTGGCTGGCCTGGGTCCCCCACTTCCCAGCTTCTGCTGCCATCTTCCTCGGGAGTCGACCACAGGGCCTTTGTAAGGGGAGCTGGCTTCCAGGCTCCTGCAGAATCTTTTCTCCTTCGTGGTTTGGCCTGGGGAGAAAACCACAGGGACCCAGCAGCAGTCACCCTGGTGCCTTGGGGTCAAAACAGATGCTCCTGCAGCTGGGCACAGCACTTACCTAGCATGCAGAAGGCCCTGGGCAGAGAGGAGGCAGTAGCCCCTGGCGGTGGCTAAAAGAGGCACTGGGAGGGCTGCTGCTCCCAGAAAGGGGCGGGAAGGGTGAGCAGTGTGGGGTGCACAGGACCCTGCCCAATGGCAGGGACCCATGACAGGTGCGACTGATAACGTGGCCCGGGGGGTGGGGGGTGCTCCTTGGGTGAGACAGACCCCAAGGTTGGCTGCGGACCTGGTCTCAGCTCTGTGCTAGGTGAGGCATGGGTTGCAGGGCAGAATGGAGCTGGAAGCCCCAGGACCCACCTGGGGCACCCAGGGCTCAGAGCCAGGCCACGAGGCCAAGAGAGACTTGGGGATGGCGCCTAGGGGCCTCTGTGAAGGGAGGGGAGGAGCTGGCTTTGGAAACCCGAGTTCCTAGGACCAAGGTGTGCCAGCGGCTGCCGGTGTGGGTTTCCCTGCCTGGTCGCTGTGTGGCCAGTCCACGCTGCCTCGTAGTCATCCACCTCGGCCAGCAGGAATGGAGGAGAGGAACATGGAGGGTCACCCTCAGGCCCTGTGATCTCTGTGCCCCACGCCGAGCAAACACAGTGGGCCCAGACTGTGCCACTCACCCTGTGTGTGACACGGTTTCTCAGCAGCTGTACAGCTGTAGGGACCAAGCCTGGCCCCACTCGGAGGCAGCAGCTTCATTTGCCTGGGCGATGCTGCTCCCTGGGCTCTTAACTTGCTCAGTGGTCACAGGCTGCTCCTCTGCACCCCACGCCACCAAGAGCGGTCACCGTGCTGTGCTTGGCCCGCAGGGGTCAGGGCATCCACGGTGCATTGAGAATGGAAACGGTTCCTAGTCACTGCCCCAGACAGCGACATGGAGGGGGACGCATGCTGGGGACGTCCTTGCCAGCAGACCCGACTCTGTATCCTACACAATTGGGCGAAACTGAGGTGCCTTGGGAGAAATGACTCCTTCCCAGGACCCTGCAGTCCCCTAAGGTTGCACTCCTCCTCGCCCCTCCAAGGGGGCTTGATGCCTCGTCTGGAGCACAGATCAAAGATGCCCCTCTTCCCCGGCTGTCCCAGGGGCTGAGCTGCCCCACTGCAGACTCCTTAACCCCAGAGCAGCCTGGCGCAGGGGGACAGGGCCTAGCCCTGTAGTCCAGCCTGTTCACACTGCCCTGTCCACGTTGCCCTGTCCACACTCAGGCTGGCCCCTGGGAAGCACCCAGGACGCGGTCCATCCTCAGCGGGGCTGGACTCATGAGTACGCGTCAGTGTCCGGGGCTGCTGTGCTATGGGGCTGGATGGAGCTCCTCATGGCCTCGGCCTGTGACTTGGATTTTCTCCCCATTTCCCAGGGGAAACCTGCTC